CGCCGCCGGCTGCTGCGCGGGCTTTGCCCGGCAGCGACGCCCGACGGCGGCGGGGGGGCGAGGAGGAACGGGTGGGGAGGCGGCGGCGGCGCTAGGGTACGCTCGGGCCGCTCCCCTGGAGAGCGACGCGAGCGGGGGCTCAATATTATTAGATTTATGATTATGAAAGAGAGGCTGCCTTCTTCAATCCCCATTAATAGAAACCAAGGTCACGTAATATTTCAAATATGGATTTGTATTTGCACATATACACGAGTATTTACCTTTTTTGTATTTGGTATCTAAAAACTGGTACATATACTACATAGGTGGTATTATATTATATACTCCATATACTACTGCGATGTATTCTGCATTTGGTAGTACTGAAAATATCCAGTGACAGATGCATTTAGAGCAACTCCAATAGGGCGATCCATTTTGTCTATTTGGATCATCCGAACACAAAACTTGGCCTAACGGGACGACCCAAACGGATGCCTCTGTCCGCGTGCTGTCCGTCCCCGACCCAAACTTGGCCCAAATCTGAGAAGAAATGGGTATGAAGCGGACAGAAGTGGACGCTCTGCTCGACCGCTGTCGTCCGCTCGTGTCCGCCCTTGGTCCCACTTAGCAGTGAGCGCGCACAAGCTGGCGTCCCCACCCAGTTGTCCTTCCCCGCCTTCTCCGCCGTCCTCGAGGCCCGCCGCCGCACTCAGTGGCGCAAGCTGCATTCCACGCCGTGGTCCAGGATGACGGGGGGATCTCCGCTGCCGCCTCCTGTTCTGAGCCAAGCTGACTGGGCCGGGGAACTGCACGCAGGCGGCGCGGCGCCGGGAAGAGCCGGGGAATTGCAGATCTCGTCGGCGGCGGCGCATGGCCGGCGAGTCGTGCGGGAGCCGCAAAGCTTCACGCTGTAGCAGATGTAGGAGGCGCTGCTCTGCGACGACCTGCACACCGTCCTGGTGCGCGCCCACGGCGAGAAGCAGGAAAGCGGGAAGCCGGGGCTGAGCGGTGAATGGCATGAGTGTGTGCAGGCGCGGCAGAAGGCGGACGAGGCTATTTTGTCCTCTTTTGTGTTTTGGCGTTGGATGCTCGCCATGTCCGCCCCAAGCGGACATGAGACCCAAATGGATAAAAAATAAACAAAATCCGTGTCCGTTTGGGTCCCTGCGTTGGAGTTGCTCTTATATAGTCCCACATAACGCACAACAAACCTAATTACATCCATTTTTTAAGTTACAGAAGATTGGCCACATCACACAGAGCATAGGTACTGCATCCAAAATAATCTTCTTCTATGTAAAACATAGAGATGGACTGAACTGGACCGGAGGAACATATGCTCTGCTTTTTGCGTGCATCGGCAGTACTTTCTCCACTAGAAGAGAAAAGGCTCTTTACCTTGTACTGCTAATAGGAGCCTTTATGTCTTTGCTGCAGGAATAATTCAGCCGGGTGTAAATTGCAGCGGAAAGAGGAATGGTTTTGGGTGGACCTTTGGGATGAGATGTGTGATCACCTGCGCTGTCTCTGAATCGAGTGTGTGTTTTAGTCCCATATCTCGTATCACAGTTGAGCTAAAACCCCTTATCTCCAAAGGGTTTTACATTTTCTTTGCAAGAAATCAACGCAAGGATTCAGCATAATCGAATACTAGCATACTACAGGTGTTGAAAACCGCACGTGCTCATGCCACGCACCGGCTTCGGAGTATTATCCAAAGTGTCGAGCGGGTAGAGAAAAGTATAACTGTGTCTGTATGATACACAAGGCGACCTAGAACTAATTTGGCAAATAATTGCTCTAGTATAGTATGGCAAGGTTGGTTTAGTTTTGATGCTTCAATGAAAGGAAAGACTGCCAAATAGTACCTCTGTAAACTAATATAAGACGTTCTAGGGAGTAGAAATAAGTAGTGGGACGGGATACTCCCAGGCATGGTACTTTAACCTCAGTCTACTCCCAGGCATGGTACTTTACAGAGCAGCAAAGTAAGAAAGTAGAGGGCATAACAATCCAGTGACTTATATTGTCTCTTTGTGTCTACACTCAACATTACTTTGAAAGGTCACTTAGCAGGAATCGAACACGACTTTGACTATTTCAAATAGCTACACAAATTAAGAAAAACAGACCGGAAAGCATCCTCGCCCCTCGCCCCTCGCGTCGCCCCCGCGGGCGACCCGGGGGGAAAACCCTAGCCGCCGCCCCTCGAGTCTCCTCCTCCTTCCCCCTCCTCACCGCCGTCCATAGCGCCGTCGGGCGAAGCCTGGCCGGCTGGGCGGCGGCGAGGCTTCTCCCCATCCTCTCCGTCTTGGCTGGCGCGGGGCAGCGGGATCCAGAGGAACGCCGAACAAACATGGGGTCCGGCGGCGCGGCGGGCGGGTCTCCCATCGGCGTCATGCGCGGTGCGGCGGTGGCGACCTGCGTGTCGTGAGGTGGTGGCTGCGTTGGCCTGACCGGTGGTTGCGGGTGCCGCCGGATCCAGATCGGATCCATCTGGATCCTTTCTTCGGACTCCGTCGGTCGCCGCAGGATGGTGATGATCGTCGCTGGCCACGTCGGATCGTTGGATTCGGCGTCTGGAGATCTACAAGGAGTTCTTCTCGATCCTCCTTTCTGGTGGGTTGAGCCCCATGGCTCTTTCATCTTCGCGGGTTTTGGATCGTGGCTTGCCGGATCCGGAGTACACAGAGGTTTGGTGGCATAGGATGGGGACCGGAGGGAACTTTGGTCGGCGTGTTCGGCCCGGCATCGGCGACGTCACTTGACGCCGTTACCCTTCCTGGAGGCGAAGCCGAGGTCTCCCCTATCCACCCCCGAACCCCTCCCGGACGAAAGTCCAAAATTCAGTCTGGATTGGGTGGCGGCGGCGTCCTGCGCGTCGTATCCTCCATGGAGACGCCGTTTTGGGAGGAACTGCTGTTAGGGGGAGAGATGTTGTGGATGGTGGGCTCCGAGTAGCTCCAGCAGTGGCGATGGTGTGGAGGTTGCCAGGTGGTGCGGCGTTGTATCTACCGCGTCATTGACGACGAGTGGTGGCGGCATGGTGCAGCTGCATATCGACGACGGATGCGGCTGGATGGACGAGCGCAGGGTGGTCGAGCTGTTTGGCGCCATGGTGGTATTGACGGCAGGCCTGGCAAGGTCTGTGCGTCAGTACC